ACGAAGGAATAATTCCTGAAGATATGTGATCTATGAGGATTCTTTCTTATTTTACCGTTTCTGAAAAGTAACATGGTGTTATGACTTTATATCTGAGAATGTTCGTTGATATACAAATCTCTGAACCTCGCGCGAGAGTGGAACCAACGTCCATCTATTCCAGAGCGAATGCTAGCCACTCCATTATCAGGAATATCGTTTTCTTCTGCTACACAAGGGTACTCTCTCGGTAGAGGATGAGTCCCAGGTTCGATTCCCGCGCGAGGTTCCAAGTTTCGTTATCAGTCTCTGGATAATTCTCGTTGTCTTACAGGATACTACTGGCTACTTGAAGTATGAAAGTTGAGGACTCAGGCATGCGAGACGAGTCGTCGTCCTCATTGCAATCGTTCGATGATGCCTCCTCCTCAGTGCTCCATGGCACTGGAAACGCCGAAGGGTTTCTCGACGATTCGGGAGGTAATTTTTCACTACATTTGAGGAAATAGGTACTGATTCCAGTACATGAGCGTTAGGTGGTGACGAGAGTTCCACAGGCGATGATGAGGGATCACTGACGCAATGAAGAATCGATCTTATTACCATCTCAAGCCGTCCGCTCGTCAATTCATGGGTGGTGTACGGACAATCGAACTCGTCGGATCAAAGTGTTGCAGGTGATTTGTAATCATTTCTTATTTACTTACTGTTTACTTATCGTTTCTTACTACTGTTTCTTCATCAATATTTATGTAGTTACTCTTTGAATTTGTAAATCATTTGTTTGTATGCTTACTCGTTTCGTTTACTACATATTCTGTCTATCCACATGTTCAGAATGTTACTCTCCATTTTTCCCGTTAAACGGCACAAAATCAGGAAACGATCTCACTTACTGGACAAAGACTTTCAGTGGCACTTATAGTAATCAATCGAAAGCTTAAATCTCTGGCCGAGCGCGGTACATGGCCATTTTTCTGAAAAGTCTCATTGTAACGCGTCAACGGAAGAAAAAATTTGTTTTTACGCGCGCATGTTCCTCGCAGTACGGAGATCTTTCTTTAGACTGTTAGTGCAATTATTCAATAGCGTAAGATTTGCGTTTTCAACGCTGTGTTCACTTTCTGGAAAAGTCGTCTCGCTGCAATGCAGCAGGAAAATGAGATTGACTCACATACGCGCGCATGTGTTCTTTTGCTGATTTACGGGCTGTGGATGGGACGCAGAGGAGGAATTCCCGCGGTTTTAACGCGGTCAAATAAACTGTATCATAACAACCTAGCATTTAGGCCCTAAGGGAGAAAATTGAATTATTGAGCAATCTCGAGATCATCAAGTAGTCGGTCGTGGAAGAATTTGATAAGGAATATTTTCCCTGTTTCTCTCCACTCGTAGTTATCGTCTATCCTTTCATGTTTCTACTGAGATGAGTGTCTATGTTCAGGTGGTGATGTCCCCAATAAGATGTCTTCTGCTCCAAACACTCAGGTATTTCTTGGTTATCTTTAAGACTGAAAGATTCAAGGAGGAGGGTTTTGTTACTCTGCTGTGAGAGGAAGTGGGAACAAAATTCCATAGAATATGTCTCGTTTTGAGCCTATAATGAGGTCTGTTATGGCACTTATGCAGTGCTATGCATGTGTTTCGGCCTTACAGCTTCATCAGTAGCACGGTGCCTTTCGGTTCAACCGATTGCTTGCATGGGATAAACCCCTACTATAAAGGAATCGACGCCGAATTGCCCAATCCTTTATCTAGGGTTTATCCTCTGCCAGCAAGGAATCGGCTGAACCGAGAAAGCACCGTGCTTACTGATGAGGCTGTAAGAGCGATACACGTGTCTAGCACTGAAGCCATATCAGACCTTATGAAAGGCTCAAGATATATTAGGGTATGTATATTGCTTTAGCAAAGTCTATAAAAGCAGTCGAATGTTAGAGTGTGTCGTGTTTTTTTGCAGGTTTCTACGAATAGCGGAAGACGTGGACCTCTGGAGCGATTCACTTTGATGATCGGCGAAAACATTCTACATTTCAGGATTGTGAAAGCTCCAGTAGAGGCAAAGTTGTCTTGACGGTTAGCTAGCTGGCCTTCCTATTTGTTCTCTTTCCCTTCTCATTTTCCTAGTCTTCTCTTCCCTTCTGTATTCTCAAAAATTCTTACTAAAAGAAGAAATTTCGTTATATACCTTACCGAACCGTTCCTTTGCTAAGATTGCTAGTCAAGGTCGGTTTTAGAGCCACGGAGTACGTCGAGTGCTTGTAGATGTCCTTTATGTGGAAAAATGTTACAAGATAGGAGTGAATGGGAAACGCACGCATCGGTGAGTAGATCAAGCTGAGACGTCGTCTTTGACCCTTTGAAGACCAGCGTTGATAGGCAAACGGCGTCGCGCCGTCGCTTGCGCGGCAGTCGGAGGAGGCGGCAGTCTGCATGTCTGTGATGCATGTTTGACTGTTTGTAATCTACGGGCTCGGGGGTGGGGCGCAGGGGTTTGTAAAGGTGTAGCATCCAAAATGAAATTATGTTTCACACGACCACATGCTTTGTTTTTCTTATTTTCTTATATTTTGCTGGAGAAAACTACTTTCTACAGAGTGCTAGTACTCATTCGATAGCAAATAAAATCAAATCAAAAATATATTTGAATTTTGCGATAAGGTCTTTTGATAGCGCTGTAGGAGAAAGAAAAATTTTTGCTTTACACCTCTCCGGACAGAGCTCTTTCTCTAGACTTCTAGTAATCAATTGATAGCGTAAGTTTCAATGATTCCAGCGATGTGCTTATTTTCTGAAATATCGTCAGCAGAGAAAATTAGATCGAGTTTGACATTTTCGACGAGCTTGTTTATCGGCTACTCGATGGGTTGGCGAGAGGGGGCAATGATCGATGCATTGGGCGTTGGATATGTGGGATGCAAATTGTTATTCAATTGGGAATTTTTCTACGCTTTGAGGGAATCCAGATAAAACGATTGACTGAGATACTACGAAAGTTTCTCTACATGTTGATATGCTTTTCGCGCCCTCAGCGAATTATACATATAATAAAAATGAAGACGACGTGGCGGATGTGAAACATGATTTTATTTTGGATTTTACGGCGTTATAAAAGAGTCTTTTCAAAAAACGACCAAGTAGGGCTGTAGCCAGAGATTTAAGCTTTCGAATGATTACTAGCATTCTTATAAAAAGTTCTTGTCCAGCAAATGAAGTCAAATATTCATTTGTCGCCGTTTCATGGATGACCGTCGACATAATTTCCTTCGACACGGTAATCGTAGCAGACCGAAATTACGTACGAATTCGTTGATTGACGACTCAGCTAGACTTTCTCGCGGAGAATTCTTGTCGAATGTAGTTGCTTATCGAATTCTCCGTAGGAGGGACGTTTGTGGTTAGTGTTGAGGTTTTGTATTCGTGGTGAGGGCTGGCCGCCAAAAATTAGAACCAGTGCTTCCTAGGTTTTTCTTCTGAGCTACAGACGCAGCAAAATATAGCTTGTAATATGCTCTAAAAGCTATATTCTCTCTATGCTGCGTTTTTCATTTGATTATGTAAAGTGTTGTCAACAAATTGCATAGTTTCTTATTTATTTGTTTTTATTTACGCGTCCCGTCATGGCAATTTTATTGTGCGGATCCCAGTACTTCTAGCATTCAATTCTTTTTTTTGGTCTTCTTCGTGAACCTCGTAGATTAGTCGTTGAGCGAGTCTCCTTGCAATCTCGAGAATAGCCTGGCTGTGGCGTTAGGCGTTGTTGTTGACTGCTGGAGAGAGTGGGGGTGGACCTCGGCTTCACGCACGCCGCGGCTAGCATCGCAACCACTCGGCCACGGTGCTCCCGATTACATAGTGAAGTCTCAAATTTCGCCAAAAATTATAAAATTCTTCCGAAGTGTTCTCTTCATACGCTAGACTTTGCTGGTAAGAGGTAGACTGTCGTGTTCTCATAGACGTCTCTATTGTCTCTTAGCGGGATTTTCTCACATTTTAGAGCGTAGATCGTGTAGTACTGTAGCTAATCATTCTTGTACTTGATTTTTTCCCTCTCTTCTATTCTCACAACAAGATATGCCACATTTCATGCATTTCCTCGCCTACCGCTCTATGGTTTCGTCTTTTTCATGAATGAAATAAACTGTTGTCGGAATGTCTTGCAGTTCCATGAAATACGAGGTGAAGCGTTCCCTAGGGCTTTCTTGGTGTATTCCAAGAAAGTGTCGGAGATGAAGTCGAACCGGCACCTTGCTTCCTGATAACCCGCATCACTAGCACTTCGGCCATCTCCCCACGCTAATCTAGTCCGTGAAATAATTGCGCATTTCTTGATAAGTGGACTCGACGTTGTTAGCTGACATCAGTACATACAGTACAATAGTGTTTTTAATATTGGCTTTTATCACTTTTCTTTTTATTTTATTTCGTACCTTATCTATTTTTGTGCTTTACATTTTATTCTCTATCTTACATGTTGTGTATATATTTCTCGGAAATTCATATGCACAAATATGTATAGGAGACATCAGTCTGATGAGATATGTAAGCTATTGGAATTCTTTTCTCTTCTATAGACCGCTTTTCACAGACGCGCTCAAAATGATATAATCTGATAAGGATATGAATGTTTTGAGCTGATAGAGTCTAGTGGTATACAGGCGCCTGTTTCGTCCTATCGGGACTCATCAGTACCACCTATCCCTTGGTCTATAGAAGAGGTTTGATTCACTGTAGCAGTTACGTACTCGACTGCCGGTCAATACAATGTCAGACAAATATTTCACCTGACTTGAGGTGGCTTTTTACTTGGCGTCAATTCCTTTAGAGGATTAAATAACCTCAGTGGATTGGCTGAATCGAGGATAGTTGTGCTGATGAGTTCCAATAGGACGAAACAGACGCCTGTATACCACTAGACCTATCAGCTCAAAACATGCACATTCTTTCTCTTTTGTCGCTTTTTAGCAGTATTATGATATTGTAACTGTATATTCAAAAATGCTATTCAATGTGAAACTTTGAATCTCGCGTGGGAGTTGAACCCGCGTCTTATCCTTTCCAAAGGCGAGTGTTAACCCTTGCACTACCGGGACTCTTGTTTAGGTATCACTTTCTCTGTCACACAAGGTATCCTCTCGGTAAAGGATGACACAGGCTTTAACTCGCGCCTAATGTTCGAAGTTTTATTTATTAGTCTTTGAATAATTCTCGTTATCTTGCAGAATGCCACTGAGTAGCTGAAATATGAAAGTTGAGGATTTGGAGTTACGAACAGAGTCGTCGTCTTCATTGCAATCGTTCGACGAAGCTTCCTCGATGCTCTGCGACAATGAATGTTCAGAGGCCTTCGACGATTTTGAAGATGTTCTTCCATTGATATCAAGAAAATGAGCACTGCGCTTTCAGTGCATAACGTTTAGGTCTTGAGGAGAGTTGCAACGGAGATGATGTGGAATCATCAATGGCAATGAAGAATCTATCTTACTAACATCATAAGCTGTGGGTCCGTTAATTTGATGGTGGAGTACGTGCAGTCGAACTCGTCGCTTCGAAATGTTTATCGTATTTCGTATTTGTTCATAAATCTATTTACTTGATGTTGCATGGCATCGACTGTCTTCAAATCCTCGCAGCAAACATTCAAATTCAATTTGAATGTTTATTGTGAGTTTTTCAAAACAGTCGATGCCATGGATCAGTTTTCTTTTACCAGCCGAGATCCACCGACTGAGAAGTGGTGATGGACCAGTGCCTTTGTACACTGTACCGTCACCACATACGCCACCCTCCTTGCTATAATGCAGGATTTAATGTGGCGCGTGGGTCACTGACGAGGAGGGCGAGACCTCCGAACACCGGTGTATGGCCCTGGCGTACCAACCTCGCTTAGGCTTCAAACATTTTTTTTTTTTGAAATTATTTAGTTGTTGCTCATTTATCTCTTAGTTCTCTACTAGTTTTCCATTTCTTTTGAGGTGTTTGAATGCATATCTGGCCTTTACAATGACTCGCGGTGGCCTCGTGCTGTATCGAAGCAGCGCTGCTTAACCTCTCAGCCAAGTCTTCGACTAGTCCGGTACCAATTCACCGACCCCGAAGCGATGCATTGCTTGGTGAGCCATGAGCGAGAAATCAAACCATCGACTTTGTGTGCGACGCGAAGCACTTATTACCACTGCGCCACATGCGCTCTTTAGGTAATCGTAGCACACGAAAACACGTACGACCTTTGTTGATTGACATTCCATTAAGAATTGTGACCTGTATCACCTGTTCAGTTGTTGTCCCGTTGATCGTCGAGTGACCCGAGCGGGTACCAGCAACACTTCTATTTTTCCCTATCGTTCCCTATCGCGTGCAAGAGCAGCCCAGTGGGTCGTCCTCGCTCTAGGATTTCCTGAGCATCAATTTTTTCTTCTATGCCTTTCGTGAAGAAGTCGGACCACCGGATCAGTGGCCTTTCTGTAGAGCGCTTGGTGCCTCGAGGAATCCAGTCGGTCACAGCTCTCGTTAATCCGTTGTCGTTGAAGCGCATCAAGTGTCCGGCCCACCTTATTTTCAATATCCTGGGGCGTAGAACGGCGTCTTTGATCTTCGATTTCTGACGTAGGTCTGAAGCTTGAATCCTTTCTCTCATTTGCGAGATACGGGATGCTCCTAGCATCGACCTTTCTACTGCGCGTTCAATAATACCAAGTGATCTTTCATACTGCTTACGTAGCGATCAGGTTTCGGCGGCATACGTTAGGGCAGAGGATAATCATCGAGTCGAAAACGTGGGCACGGAGTCGGACGTTCTTTGCCCACCACTATATCTTTGATGCTCTTAAACGTTCAACAAGCCGCTCGTTTTCCTCCGGCTCAACTCTGGAGCTAGGTCATTCAGCATGTTGCTTTCACAACTTAGATTGGCGAAACTGGAGCATTCGGAGATTTTCGTTCCGTTGAGCTTGAATGGGACATTCAAAAGCCATCCGTTCCTTATGAACATCGCTTTTATTAGATTCAGTTGAAGACCAATTATTCTACAGGCGTTGTCGAAATCGGTCAACATTTGTTCTGTTTGGCTACTTCTTGGTGTTATGAGGACGATATCGTCAACAAAGCGAAAATGGTTTGATTGTCGACCGTCATTTTCACTCCCATATCGTCCCATTCTAATGTTCGCATGACGTTTTGTAGGGTAGCAGTGAATAATTTTGGCGAAATTCTCTCTTACGTCAATGATGATATTGTTGTAGAATGGAGATATTTTGAACGTGAAATTTTTTATTAAGCTCACGAAGGATCATTAAGTACCGAGTAGGGACGCCCTGGTTATCCAGAGCCTCTGTAATCGCTTGTGTTATCACTGAATCAAAGGCTGTCTTTATATCAGCTAGCAGTAGTTTGAGATATTTCCACAATTTTACAATAACCGATGCTGTGTGGAACACAAGTAAAATTTGAATTTTTTCGTAAGTGTTGAGGAACTCGTTCCTCAACCAAGTATTTATACAACTGAAAAATGATATCGTGGTTTCAATTCAAACTCTTCAACTTTCAGCGTTAAGTTCCTCCTTTCATGAATTAGAAATGGTGGTACTTTCTTTTCTATTGGCTAAAAAACTCTTGTCAACAACAGTGTCCTGCTAAAAGCGGAAGTAGAATAGTATGGTACGACTATTCATCTCCCAGCAATTAAGTAGATACTGTCTATTCATGCAAAATTAACACTCATAAACTTCTTAAGAAAAACAATACCTCAGCAGCACTGATTTTACCTTAAAATTTTATTTCAAGAATCGAGAACCTCAATATGTTACGCGCGAATCATAGAATCTCTACAATAGATTGGGAAGTCTACTCACTGACTAATAGTGCACTACCACTCGGGTCGAGACGTAAACGATTTCCGCAGCCGGTTTCGCTTCCTCACATGTGGATCTTCATGAGGAGTTGCTCAGAATAACATGCCCATGCCATCTCAAGGCCGAACTAGGCTGCCAAGATCGAAACGGACAAAAATGACGATTTGTGCCTACAATGCAAGAACCCTTGCTCTTGAATCCCCTGTAGAAGATCTACTGATTCAAGCATGGAGGATAAGGCACGACGTCACTTGGCCAGGCTAGACGAGAAGGCGCCATCCTTTTCACGCTGTTTATGACACCGGAGAAGAACAGTTCCTTAGAACATGCGACGCAGAGGTGTCGGCGGCGTTGGCGTCCTCGTCAAATCGAATTTAACCGTGAACATTGATTCGTTTGAACAACTAACAACCTGTATCGGACGATTACGGTTGAAACGACGTGGTTTCTATGTCGGCTTTGACAATCTTCGTTGCTTACGCACCAACATCAAGCTATGACGAAGACGAAGTCGAGGCGTTTTATATGGATCTCGAAAAATTCTTCAGAGAAGATCATACATTCTTCAAGGTCATTGTCGGAGATTTTAACGCAAAAATTGGACCTAGAAGAACGTCTGAAGAGCATCACATAGGGATCCACGGACAGAATGGAATGAACAGGGTGACAGGCTATCTGAGTTTATCATGACGACTCAAACCATCCATGGTAACTCGCAATTCCAAAAGCCTCTTTCTCAGCGATGGACGTGGGAGTCTCCCAATGGAGAGTACCATAACGAAATAGACCACATCATAGTAAATCGAAGGTTTTGCCTGACCGACGTCGCTGTTGTTCCTATGTTCTACACGGGATCAGACCATCTCCTCCTTCGCGCAACGTTCCGCTTTTCGAGGAGAGCAGAGAAAGCCGCTCAATTCAAACAACGAATTCCTAGAACTACCATAAACTGGGATGTATTCAAATCATTAGTCGGCTCTTGGGAAGATACCGTTGTCGACAACATCGACGAAGAATACGATCAATTCGTTGAATATCTTCACGTTAGCGCTATAAAAGCCGAGAGTCCTAAGGTCACGAAGAGACACTGTTCTTCGCATACACTCGAGCTGATACGTCAAGTGGAATCGCACGAAGTACAGGCAACCGAAACCTTACGTCTGAACTTGCGAAACGCTGCAGAGAAGCGATAAAAGAAGACCTTAAAGAGAGAAGAGCAGCAGTTATGGCAGAAGCTGCAGAAGTTGGGAAGAGCATTCGCAAAGCCCAGCGAGGCTTCGCCAACTGTAAGACCAAGACGACTGCACTCCGATTTCTTGACGGGACACTTACAGCTTCGAGAAGGGCTATGGAGAAAATCGTCCACCAATACTACTCGGATCTCCTCGCTAGCCATGTCCTCTTATCGTCATATAAATTGAAAGAGGACGAATATGTCGTTCCACCGGTCCTCCCTTCCGAAATCCGACTTGCTATATCGTCGATGAAGAACAGTAACAACACCCGGTACAGACAGGATTAGACCAGAACACCTGAAGAAACTGCCGCCAGTTTTCATCAACACCCTGGCTCGGCTCTTCACTCCCTACCTGTCAAATGCAAGGCCCTTATTCAGTGGAAAACCAGCAAGACCGTATTGCCGTTCAAAGAGGGAGACCTTTACGACTTAGGCAATTATCGCCCAATCTGCTTGTTATTCGCTATCTATAAACTCTTTACTGGAGTCATCCTAAACAGGATTGACAGAACACTGGACGAAGGGCAGCCATGCGAATAAGCAGGGTTCCGAAAAGGATCTAGTACCATAGACCACATCCACACAATTACAAGACTCATTGAAGTTTCACGAGAGTACAAACAACCACTCTGTCTCACTTGATCGATCTGAAGAAAGCCTTTGATTGAGTGGAAACACAAGCGGTTATAGAGGTTCTGGATTACCAGGGCGTGCCCACTCGGTACGTAATGATTCCTCGTGAGCTTTATAGAGATTTCACGATCAAAATGTCTCCATTCTGCAACAATGCCACCATTGACGCAAGAAGAGAGGTTCCATAAGGCGATACAATTTCACCAGAATTATTCACTGCCACACTCCAAAACGTCATGCGAACATTAGAATAGGACGATATAGGAGTGAAAATTGACAATCGACAATTAAATCATCTCTGCTTTGCTGACGATATCGTCCTCATAACACCAAGAAGTAGCCAAGCAGAACGAATGTTGACCGATTTCGACAA